TACAAATTTCTTAAAAATTGAAAAAAAATGGTTTTCTTCCAATAAAAATTTACTTTATGTTGCTTAAAAATACTTAATTTTTTTTGGTTTAAATAGAAGATAATTCAATGCCAAATATAATAAATTTTGCAATAATTCCATACGACATTTAGTTTTTTTCTATCCTGTCCGCCAATTAAAAAAAATCGCAAAAAAACAAAAAAATCGACTTTTTTATAAATAATTTCATATATATTCTATATACATATATTATATAACGATATTACTAGGGTTCGTGCATAAGCGCGACATACAGTCACTAGTTAACAGACATACATATATGTATGTACATACATACAAGTGTACCCACCACAATGTTTTATGCATTTGTGGTTTCAAAGTGTCAAATCACCGTTGCATTCCCTAAATTTGGATCCAACTGTCACCGAACCTATTATGCTTGCTGTTGTTGTTGATGGTGTCGCTCTTGTGTGCATATAATGCGGACCGTTACAAGCTCATGCGGTTGGATACCAATGCTATCACGTGTTAGCCGAACACGGTGATTGCGAATTTATATTCCAATAAGCCACACATTTACAATCACTGCGAGTGACATATGTACATACATATGTACATACTTGCGCAAAATATCTCTGATGTGTGGGTTTTAGCACTACTTGATTTGATGCCACATATGTGTCCAGTGTTCCGCGCGGTCACGATTGCCCACCAATTTAAATGCGATTGTATTCTTTTAAACTTATTATATCTGCGCGGCATTGTAAATTTGTCGTCGCGTAAATTGGTTTACGCATAGCTACATGGTGATTATCAACCGCAATGCTATTTACGATCTCCCACTATAGTACCAAATTATATTTGCATATTTCATTACATTTGCTCCTGCGTACATTTGAGCGCAAGTTAACACACATCCCCGCCTACTTGTACATGAATGGCGGTGGTGTGCAAGTGAGCGTCAAATTTGTGTTTATGCCTCATTTAATATTATTATTTTCAAAAATTGGTCTAATTAAATTCGACTTATAGTAGATACACGCACACATTTACCTAGAAGCAAATGTACACCAGTGCGTATAAGTAACCGGAGCTATGGGACTGGCTTTGTTTACAAATATGTACATTCAGTATTGTTTGCGATATAAAATAAATAATAAATTCAGTTATAATAATATATAAATTGAAAATTTAAATAAATAAATAAATTCGATACATTTCACTATGCAATGAAAATACAATTACACATTTCGTTTTATTTAATTTGCGAAATAAAATTTTGTGAATTGAACTTGAATGTAATTTATATCTAATATATGGATGTAAAGTATAATACAGATATTATTTTATTAGCTTTTACTTTTTTAATTATCGAAATTTTTTATTTAAAGAATCATACTTGAAATCATTTTTCAACCGCTCTAAGCATTAATGCTCTCAATTTCCCTTAAAAATCTCATTTAAGAGGTTATATACAGTTAAAAAGCCGAAGAAAGTGATTTTTGCCGATTGTTTTTCGGAAATTTATTGATCTAAAAATTTGTAGACATATTATGGTATATTTTACCCTCACTCTAAGACTTAGCAGTAGTAAAAATCAAAATTTTTACAAAAATTTCGGCCTTAAATTGTATACAAAAA